TGATTATTTTTAATAAATTATTTGCAAAAACTCAATCAATAATTTTACAAAGGAAATTTGCTCAAGGAAAACGAAAAGGTGGTGAAGATCTTGATAAAGTTTTAAATCAAAATGAAAACGATGAATATTTTCATTTTAATAAAAGCTTTATTCAAGTAATTTATTTATTAGTTTCAAACTGAACACAAAAAGAATGATACTTTCATATTTTAGCTTTCGTGTAATACTTCATTACCAACAGAAATATTTAAAAATAGTCATTTATCTGATATATTTTCTTCAATTACATCATATCATACATGGCGAGATTTAAATATAATTAATGAAACAACCATAGCTGTCAATCGCTATGATTATGTTAATTTTTATCATACCATAACTGATCTTTATACAGTTTATCTTTTATGTCGATTTTTTCGTCTTGATCCCAAATCTGTTCATATACTTTTTCTTGATGCTCATCCGAAAGGTAATTTAGATTTATTATGGTCACAATTATTTCATTCATTTATTCGTTTGGGACATTTAAATAATTCTTTAATATTTTATAAAGAATTAATCTGGTCACCACCACAAGCACAATCTGAATTAGATTTAAAACAATCTCGTAAAATAGCACCAAGTTATTTTTTTGATTTTCGTCAACATATTCTTGAAAAATTTTATATCTCTTCAGTAATAAATAAAGATTTGGATTGTCAAAATATAAATATATTTTTTCTTGTTCGTCATAATTATATTGCACATCCAAGAAATCCAACGGGAAAAATAACACGACAATTAATCAATGAAAATCAAATTCTTAATGACTTAAAACGAATATTTCAAAATATTTCATCTATTCATTTTACTTACAATCATTTTGAACAATTACCTATGCAACAACAATTATCAATTATTATACAAACAGATATTTTTATTGGCATGCATGGTGCTGGCTTAACACATGTTCTTTTTATGAAAACGAATCGTTTTCTTATTGAAATTACTACAACTGTTTGGCAAAAACAAACACATTTCGAACAAATGGCTTCGATTAATAATATTCATTATCATCGTTGTTTAATTCTCAATGGACATTCAACAACTGCACAAACTATATTTAATTGTTTAACAAAAACACTTTTTCAGATGTGTTCTTCTTAAATTATCAATCAATTCTATTCCTTCGTTGATTATAGAAAGAGAACCGGTGTAAAATATAGAAATTTTTATTGTAACAACAGAGTCTTAGTTCTGCTGTTTCATAGTATCTAAAACATAGTTGTTTTGTTTCTTTAAGAAATTTGTGTTCCTAAACGTTATGGATGATTCACTGTACTCACATATCTACCTCAATCTACGATAGAAACGTCTACTTTTGCTTTCATAGTACAACTAATAAAAATTTCTACTTTCTGATTTCATTTAGTATATTATTCTCATGAGAAAATAGATTACATCAATAATAGAATTCTTTGTATTTCTTGCTTGCATCAAACGATAACGCTTTTTTGAATATTACGAAATGGCTCTTTATTATCCATTAGTAAGAAAAAAAAATGAGTTAGCCATAAAAGAGAGACAACTTGACATGAAGTAGATTCTTCTTTTTTTTTTGTCTTGCTGGCATTCAACAAAAATGTATCAAACAAACCTAATTCGAAGCAAAGAAAGACACGCTTTAACATTTGTACATAGATGAATAGCCAAAAAAGGAAGCAATAAATAGAGTTGATAATAACAACAGTAATGATACTGTCATACATAAATTAAATAAATGTCTTTGTGTCAACGTTTGGAATTATCGTTGGTTTTGTGGTCATAATTAGTGATTTATGTTATTGGTTTTTCTTGTTTTTCTTTTCAAATAACAATAGTAAATATATTTAATGTAAAAAACATTTGAATGATTATATATAAAAACGCATATGTTTGTTCATAAATACGTCCTCGAGATTATATTCTTGTTTGTTGTATAAGAGTTTATATATTGAGTAATATGAGACAATAGCTTTTTTTCTTTGTATATGTAAAACGTGATAGCTTTGTCATTGATATTAGCTATTGTACATATACTTTGATGATGGGCATCATCAGCACGTTTTTCTGTTATCTATTGCCTGCTGGGCTTGTTCCTATGACATTGATTGATGACACACTAGAAAGAAATAATGATCTTGTGATGAAAATTGCTATATAGACTGCTAAGTATATGTCCATATATCAAGTATATTCTATTCAAATATTGATTATGTATTTTCAAAACAAAAATTTGTAAACGTGATCTTCTGAATAAATCTATATGTAGAATGTATTATCGTTTATGTTCTATGCTCATTTTGTCCATGGAGGTCATGAACAAATGGCAATAATTATCTTTCATGATTTGTACTAAGCAAATGCGTTAGTTTTTCTTATGTATCTATATGTTTAAGGACATAGGCAATAGTCCAAGTAAATAATTCATCATGATGGAAGCAAGGTCAATTGTAATATCTTATGAGATAGAATGACTTAGAAATACCAAAGTTATATTATTTGACTGATGAGAGGTGAAAGAAGAAGGTTACTAATGGACTTCGTGTTTTCTTTTCATCAGTAGCATTCATAATTCTCTTTTGTAAATACTATTTTGTTTCGGTAAGTACATGCATATTTGTCACTATGATCAAGATTTATATAAATTTGAGCTAATCGACAACAAAGGTAAATGAATTGTATTCTTATTATTATTTCAACACGTTTTCTTTTTCTATTGTTCGATTATGATATGTTAATATATTAAATATGAGCATCATTAAAAATAGTTGTTTTCGTTGTACAGTTGGAGACAACGAGAGTAACGAAAAAAATTCCAGTGAACAAACATTAACATCTCTTTTTTGATATTCTGATTATGTATCTATGTATGCCTTAATCATCAATAACAATCAATTTTTGACTGAAAGAACATATCAAAGGAGATGATTAAAAAACAAAAATGACTTTGTATTACTCCTCATTATTTCTTTCTAAAGTAAGCATTTACAATTCCCACTCTCTTCTTTTTCTTTTGTACCAATGATTTATTTTTGTTTTGAAACTTCTCTATGTCAAAAGGAATTGATGCTTTAAACATCCATCATGATAGGAGAAAGTTATGCATTCTATTGACTTGTTCATAGTTAAGATATACATAACAGATAATTTATCATTCGAGTAAGTGAATAAATAAGGTATTTTCTTTTATTTTATTGAGATCATAATACAATTAGGTACTGTCTGAGAATTGCTATATGCTTCCTTTTTTGTCTATTTATTGGTTATGCTTGGTGTTCTTCACCTTCTGAAGCATTAATGTTGTTATTATTACTAAATGTATACTTTCTATCGTCTTAAAAAGAAAAATCTCGAAGGAAAAAGATCGAAGAAGAAGAAGACGAATGTCAGTGTTGATATTATGTATCCATAACTAATACTTATGCAATGGCTTTTCTTCGCTTTGATTGGACCAAGAGACTATCCTTATCTTTTTTTTCTTCTGACATAATGATGAGAGACAAAGGTAATGATTGATTTGTACTTTCCAAAAAAAAGCCACTGAATTTTTCTCTACACATATATATATATATGCATGATATTGGTCATATCCAGAGTTTTCAGCCAACAAAATACCTTCATGTTGTTACTCTGTTAATATGCATATGTATGCACGTGTGTGTCTAAGTACAGATAACTCCATACATGTATTCTCTCGATAGTAATCTAGTTACCATATTGTGCTAAATGCACTGGTCGCGGCTTATACTAACATATCATTTTTTTTGGCTAACTTATTATTGGTAAGGAAAAGGGGAAAAAGAGAGAGACAGAGAGGGAGAGAGATAAAGAAAAAAAATGCTACTCTTGCGGTCTGCGGTGGTAGCATTAGTGGTTATACCAATCATTACTCAATATATATCGCTATAGAGAGAAAGAATAACAACGTTGTCGGACGGTTATTTGGCTTTTTTCCTAGCTTATAGCGTACTAACTGTTCCTATGTGGTCGTCGAGTTTGTTTCTAGTATTACCAGGCAAGAAAAAAATTATTTATCTAAGCTCGACAAACGATAGACATGGCTCATAGCGTATATACTACTTGTTTGCGTTTATCTTTGAGAAAGACAGTCGTATATCTTCTGCATTTGTCTCTTTTTTCCGAGAGCAAAAGAATACCGTAAGCTATTTAATATAGTAGAGATAGAAAAAAAAAAGTTTTTAAAAAAATGAAAAACCTTTTATAGATTTTTCTTTTGGGTACATTGATAGTTATTTAATCTGATGTATACGATGCGTTAGAGTGTTACGATATAATATATACATATATATAATTTGTTCCTGATTTGTATTAAACTTTCTAATTTATCCAGAGAATGATGTGTCTTCTAAGAGTAATTGTTTATATTTGACATGAATTTGAGATGAGTCTTCTAATCGAGCGTATTTTTTCTTTCTTTAATAAATAAGTTAGATGGTTAGACTTACATCATGATAAGATATGAAGATCAAATCATTTTTCACCTTATTGTGTAGAAGATGAGATGAAGTAGATAATCAGCGTATAAATATTTATTTTTGTGTGTGTATAAAATATTGTTTATTTTCTTCTATTTATATCCAGTTTTCAGATATCATTCTCTTAATCTTTTTTTCCACTTGTCAGTCCTATTGTTCCGGGGATGGACGCCAAGATTATCACAGGTTTTATCCTGTGGTTTTGTTTTATTGCCAGTATATCGATATCTCAAGTAAGATATTTGTTGATAAATATTATATATTAATTATAAAATTTTTACACTAGATTGAATCCTCCACACTCAATTCAAGGCAAAGGTTTAGACGACAAGATGATGAAAGTACGTTGATTGCAATTAAATAATTGCATTTTTTACCCTTGTTTAGCCATTAAATTTTTCATCCTTTTTCGGTACCTACTTTCTCCCCGTATTAGGTACTGCTTGTCCGGAAGGAACTAAACCTTGTAAAGATGATAACAACATGTGTGTTACCTATTGCAATGGAAACCCTGAATGCGCTGATGGTTCCGATGAGCTCGATTGTGGTAAGTATATTATGAACGATCATCATCAAGGAACCAATTCTTTACTTCAAAAAATCCTTCACCTTCAGCTACGGATGCTCCTGTTATAACTTCTGACAGTATTGCTTTTGCTCAAAGTACAGAACCGAGTGGTAATGGAAACGAACCTGCCAATGTACCTGGAGGAACAACAGATATAATCGAAACTACTCTTCCACAAGTTACAGTATTCGATCGCGAAACTGTACCGACAGGTGTGATTGCTATCGAGAACAGAATATCAAATTGCATGTTTTTTTTGTTCTGAGTTAATCATGATGCTTACTTTGCTTAATGAACTAAGCGCTTTTGTCTTTCTGTTTTAGCTGCTGTAGATACAACTGCTAAGGGTAAGTTTTAATGAAGATTTTCTTTAATTTTTTCTTTACTAACAATATAAACAAAACTGCTTTTCTATATCGCTAAAAATTTCTTACTTCTTTTCACTCTAAAATGAACACATACCTATCCTATATATACATAGAAGATGTAAATACAGTCGTTACTCAACAATCAACTGCCGGAGAAGCACAAGAAGCAACAACCGTTCTTGCCGACGCTACCGCAGCTGCTGCTGCTGATGCTACAGCAGCTTCTCCTACTGCTGACGCTACAACAGCTGCTGGCGCTGATGCTAATGCTGATGATACAACAGCTGGTGCTGATGCTGCAACAACTGCTGCTGGCGCTGATGCTAATGCCGATGCTACAACAGCTGCCGCTGCGGCTGCTGATGATGCTACAACCGCCGCTGCTGGTGATGCTGATGCTACAGTAGCTCCTACTGCTGCTGATGCTACAACGGCTGCTGCTGAAGCTGATGCTACAACAGGTGCCTCTGCTGATGCTGATGCTACAGCAGCTTCTGCTGCTGCTGATGCTACAACGGCTGCTGCTGATGCTGATGCTACAACAGGTGTCGCTGATGCTGATGCTACAACAGGTGCCGCTGATGCTGATGCTACGACTGAAGCAGCCGAAAGTGGTGTCACTGGTGATACTACTAGTGGTAGTGACGGAGCAGCAACAACTGCTGACGCCAATGTTGAAACATCAACTGGTGCAGATGACTTAACATCAGCTAAACCGGGAAATGGCCATGTAACTGAAGATGAAAGCAGTACAGCTGGTGTTACTGGAGATGACACAAGTGCTCATGATGTATCCGATCAAGTTACAACTGTTGAAGCTGCTACTACGGATTCAAATACAGCAACAACTGCTGGTGATGCAACTACAGCAGATGATACTTCTGATGTAACAACAGATTCATCAACTGATGCTGCAAATGGACATGATGTATCAGCAACAACAGTAAAAGGTACCGATAACATTATCTAAACTTCGAATGAAATGATTCGTGAATCATAATATCATTTGAATGAATGTTCTGTTTCATTTATCTAGTTTGCTCGTTTACTGAATTGCTTACTGCATGTTTTAGAATTTTTTTATTTCAACTTAATCAAAAAAATTAATTAATTATTTCTGATTATTTTAGATGAAGCCACTACAGATGGTAGGTTTAATAAAATGTTTGATTTTAAAGTGTTCTTTTCCTTTGCATGGGTTTCTAATTATCTGCATATGCATGAATAGTGAAATCAGAAGAGAATATCCATGTATACACAACAACCATAATAGTAGCTCCAGTACATGATAATGCAGAAAACGACTGTTCAATTAAAAACAAAGATTTAATAGCAACTACAACAATAACTCAACATGTTGCGAATATAATAACAATAGTAGATGATGATGATGTTGTGTCTTATGATGTTTCAGAAGAAGACAATGTAATTGAATATATAACTACAACAACAACAATAACAACTAATGATGTTGAATATTATGATGATGAGAAGGATGAGATGACAAAAGGAAACCAAATTCTTACAGAATGATCATTTCCAGATGTAACGAGTGAGATCAATATTCAAATGTCATCTATTATTTCGTAATGATACTCATACATATTAATTAGCTAGCTTCTTCTTTTGAATGGTACATAATGTCAGTTGTTGTATCGTATAACATTTTCTACTTCTATTAATTATTTTCTTAGAGAAAAAAAGACAAAGAAAAGTATTATTGCATGTTAATGATCATGCTTCTTGTTTGTTATTCTACTCTGATATGATGTAATGATACAATAATATATTTGTTTTATATTTAATTTAGACAATGTAACTCAAACTACTACTACTGAAGGCAAGTAATATAAAGTTATTTCTTAATGTAGTTGATTTTTTTTTCTTGTGATAACATTGATTAATATTGAACATTATAGAACACTGAAGATATATGTTTAGTAAAACATGTTAGATTCTTAGGTTAGATAATATTAAGATATGTAAAAAATATATAATTTGATCATTTTCTCTCACAATAAACTGTATTTGTTTGAATTATATAAATATATGGACAGTTGAAATAACATTAATTTCTTTTTGTTTTTATTGAATAGAAGATACAACAGCAGCACCTGTTCAACCAGAACCTAGTGGCAGAGTTGAACTTCGTGTTGTTGTTAGTCCAGAAATACTTGAGGTACAACGTGGTCAAACTTATGAATTGACTTGTACTGTTTATGGTGCTGATGCAAGCACAACTATTTATTGGATTCAAGAAGAACCGGAACGAGTAAAATGATTCAGTTAGTATCTAAAATTAATTAAATAATGATTTTTTAGCGTTACGCTCTAACGGATCCAGCTGGACCAGATGATAAACAAGTAACACTATCACAAGTATCATTAAAAGCACGTATTACAATTGACGATCCAAGTAAAATCGGTAAATATACATGTATGGCACAAGATACAGCTGGTAATAGTGGTGCAGCTATTCTTACTATGGAAGAAGGCCGTTATTATCCTCCAGTATATCCACCAGTATATCCACCAATTGTACCTGGAGGTAAGTTTATAAAAACGAAGAAATTTTAATTTTTTTTATGATTTGAATTCTTGATATTTTCTAGGAGGTGGTCAAGGATATTTACGTATTGTTGCACCTGATATGGCTGAAGGTGATTATGTAGAAATTCAATGTGAAAATGCTAAACCAGAAGATGAAGGACGTATTCAATGGTTTTTTAATAATCGAGTAAGAGTTTCTTTTCTAAATCATTAAAATTTGAAACAATTTCTAAATGACTTCATTTTCATAATTAATTGCGAAAAAAGAAGCTTTTAGCACAGTCGCTGGGAGATAAAAATGTGAAATATAATGCAGCTGATATTACTAATTTATTATAGCCAGATTGTTTTATTCTATCTATTTTCGGACACATTTCTTCGCCATCCTTCTACTTAAGCCTTCAAAAATGCAATAAGAAAGAAGTTCATATTTTAGAACGAGATGTTATTCATAGACTGCCTATCATCATATATTAGTAATGTCTGTGATGGTCTCTGCCTAACATCTGTCATAGTCTGTGATGAGTTCTGATTAGCGTCTGTCAAAATCTGTGATAGCCTCTGGCTAGTGTCTTTGACGGTCTCTGCCTAGCATCTGCCAAGGTCTGTGAGACACAATGAGCATTTGTTGCATGTCAGACAAACATTTGACTTTCTTGCTCAGAAATGATTTTATATGACGCAGAAAACTATTTTTAAGAAAAAAAAACATTTTTTTTTAGAACAATAATATTTTGACAAAATATGTCTGAGTGCGATATTTACCCTCATTTTTGTAAAAAATATTTTTCTGTGAAAATTATTGTATGTCATGTATTATCCGATGCAGTTTAATGTACTGATACGAATATACTATTTGTGTTGATGAAGTATTTTTTCAACGCCAGAAAAACTGAAAAATAAATGAAAAACTTAATTTTTTTGGAAACTCATTGTCCAGTTGAGAAATGTTTGTGCTAACATAGATTAGAGAGAGGAAGAGTGGATAGAAGAAGACTCTGACAAAACTTGGACAATTTTAGAAGTTGAATGCGGATGAATTGTTCATTTTATGGATCTAATCTTTTGAACGATACTGTAGGAAAAAAATATTCAGCTTTTACAAAAGTAAAATGTGCAAATAAAATATTTTTTACGATAGTATAAAGTTCAACTTGAAGATTCAGAAGATGTATTTAATTCGTCTGTTGACTAGTTGAATTATTTAAGCCTTGAAAAATGCAATTTTCATTTTCAACCAAATGTTTACCTAGGTGTACACTATTGGAAAGGAAGGTAAAATATTATTCCCATCCTTCAACAACTCTTCTAGGTTGTGTTTTACAAAAGATGATAAGTTTAAAATGAATTATCATGCAAATGAAATCTTCTGATGACTAAAAGTCTTTTGTTCTCTGAGTATAGGTGAATGGATTCTAATTAAGGTTCATGCTACTAATTAATTTTGATAATTTAAATATCTTCTTTTCTTAGCTTCTTAGCGATGAACAACCACTTTATCCACGTGGTAAAACTCTTCATATTCGTCCTATTTCAAGACCTTATTTGGGAAATTATCGTTGTTCAATTCCGGGTAGTGGGTATGCTGATGGAATTAGTGTTCTTACTTTTGGAGGTAATTTTATTGAAAAAAAGTTAATGAAAATTTCATATGATTCTCATTTTTTTAAAGGTCCAGTTCCAACAACAACTGTTCCAAGCTATCGTATAAAGATTTTTTTTCTTTTGTATTAATATAATAAACTTATTTTCTTTCTTTAGCTTCTGCATTTACAGTAACAATTGATATTGTTCAAGGACAAACTGCTCAAGGACAAGCACAAGAAAATACACAAGTCATCCTTCGATGTCGACCAAGTGAACAAGCTACTAGTTATCGATGGACATTTACATCTGTAAATAATATCTTTTTTTTAAGTTTATTTTTTCAAATCGTCATACGTGTATTATTTTTTAGAGCCAAGGACCAGACAATCGTGGTTACACAGATCAATTAGTTATTCCTCGAGTTACTCTTCAAGATTCTGGTGTATACACATGTGAAGCAACTAGTACTCGTGGTCAAACGGCACGTGGCACAGTCAATCTTTATGTTAATGGTATATTCTATCAGAACAAGAAGTTTTTTGTTGTTTTATATAATTTGACTTTTTTGTCTATGCTAGCTGGTCCTCAACAACCAATAGCTGGTCGATGTGGTGTTGATGAAGCTACTTGTCGTAATGGTCGATGTATTCCTCGTGCATATCTTTTTGATGGTAAAAATGATTGTGGTGATAATAGTGATGAGGGCACTGGAAGTAGTAAGTGATACGAATTATAGTGTTAAAAATTAATTATTGAGATTAATTTAGGTGATGCATGTCAACCAAATGAAATTGGTTGTACTAATGCCGATCGTGGACGAAAATGTGTACAGAAATTTTGGATGTGTGATGGTGATCGGTAATGAAAATGAATAAAATTTTGTTATAAATTTGATGTTTATTTTTTTTAGTGATTGTGATGATGGAAGTGATGAAGATCAACGTTATTGTGGTATGTAAAAGAAAAAGAAAATTTTAATGTAAAGAAAAATTTCTATTTCTATTATTTAAAAGAAATACTTCCTCGTCAACGTTATTGTAAACCAAGTGAATTTCATTGTGGTGGTTCAAATGCTACAACACCAAATCCAATATGCATTCCACGATCATTTCAATGTGATGGTTATAATGATTGTCCTGATCGTTCGGATGAAGTCGGCTGTGGTAAATCACATAAACATGGAAAATTATTATCATACGTTTTGTTCTTTTTTTCTGTTTTAAAGTTAAACCAATTGTTGTTTCGGCACCACAACGTCAAATTCAAGTTCATGTTGGCCAAACATTAACTATTCAATGTATAGCTCGTGGTTCACCAGCACCATATATCAATTGGCGTCTCAATTGGGGACATGTATGTGGTGATGGTTCGGATAATGGACGATGTACAATGGCACAAACTGTAGATCCAAATGATCCACATCTTATCACTGGCACACTTACTGTTCGTAATGTTATTTCATCTGATGGTGGTGCTTATTCATGTGAAGCACTTAACAATCAAGGATTTATTTTTGCTATTCCGGATGCAATTGTTGATGTTATTATTGGTTTGTATTTTAGTTTAAAAACAAAAACCATATTCTTATCATTTGTTTTGTTTTAATAGTTTCAGGCCCTCCACCAACACCAGCACCACTCCAATGTAACTGCCATGGTCATTCATCATATTGTACATCTACTGGACAATGTCTTGTATGTGTTCGAGAAAAGAAAAAGACTAATCATTTTATTATTATATTGTTTTTTTTTGTTTTCTCTAGAATTGTCAACATAATACTGCTGGTTATAGTTGTGAATTCTGTGCACCAGGTTATCAAGGTGATGCTCGTCGAGGTACACCATATGATTGTCAACCGGTTACAGCTGCACCACCAACATCACGTAAATAATTATTATTCGATATAAATTGATGAGTTAAATTTTATTTTTAAAATTATTTTGAATAGGTTGTAATCCAGCTGGTACACATATGGATCGTGGTGATCGTTGTATTTGTAAATACAATGTTGAAGGTGCTCGATGTGATCAATGTAAACGTAGTCATTTCTATTTGAATCCAACAACACCAAATGGTTGTTTACCATGTTTCTGTTCGGGTGTATCAACTGATTGTACTTCAACGGATTGGCGACGACAACCTGTAAGTTTTGCTTTGTTTTTTATTTGTTTTTTATTTTTATTTTTCCATTTGTTTATTAGATTCCACTTCCATTAAATAACTGGAATGTTGTACCAAAAACATTTGCTACCGATCCATATGAAGCACGTGATCGTATACAACAACGTCATGGTGGACGTGAAATAGCTCTCGATCAAAGTTCTTTAGGACGATCAGCTAATGAAGTTCTTTATTGGAAAGCACCAAAAGAAACACTTGGAAATGTTGTTACATTATATGATGGTAATATTGATATTCATTTTACAAACGATGGTAATGATAATGAAGCACCAAGTAATGATGAATTTATATGGTTACGTGGCAATAATATTGATCTTGTTCATAAACTTCCACAAAATCAACGATTTAAAGCTAATTCAAATGCTACTTATTCGGTACCATGTAATGAAGTATGAATATAAATAATTAAAAATAAAAAATAAAAAAAATCTATGAAATTTGTTTTTCTTTTTGTCTTTACTTTCTAGAGAACATTTACACGTAAAGATGGAACATATATTGATCGGGAAAATATTCTTATGGCTCTATCAGATTTGGATACATTACTTGTTAAAATAAATCCAATTGGTGGTCGACGTAATGCTGTGTAAGATAATTAATAGAATTGGATTTGAATTTGATTTTTTTTTATTTTAGACTTCGTGGTGTTACTTTAAATGTTGCTGCTCGTGATGGTTATACAGATCCAGCACCAACAGTTGAATCATGTCGTTGTCCAGCTAATTATACGGGTACATCATGTGAAAAATGTGCTGAAGGTTATGGTCGTCCACATCCATTAGTTGGTATTTATTTGGGTCAATGTTGGTCATGTCGATCATTATGTAATGATCGATCAGATAGATGTGATCGAGATACTGGCAGATGTCTTGTATGTATTAATTTATAATTTAAATTTTTGTTATTTGTTTAATTATATTTCGTTTTCTTTTTTTTTATAAATAGGATTGTCAAGCTAATAGTGAAGGTGATCGATGTGAACGATGTCGTCCTGGTTATATACTCGATCCACGATTGAATCAATGTACAAGAGATGAGCAATATCCATCTTGTAAGAATATAAAAATAATAATTTATTTTCATAATCTGTTTGTTTACTTATTTTTAGATCCAGTACCACCATATGAACCTGCTCCAAGAGGTGCTTATTATGTCGACCAACGACCTTATGATACACGTGGTACAACTCCATTAACCATTGTTTTAGATGGTAATCTACCAGAACAACATGTTCCACTTCAAGTTCTTGTACGTTATTAATTGTTTATTAAAAGTCTATTTATATATAAAATTTTTAAAAATTTTATTAGAATGCTCAACCACGATCAGTTGTATGGGGTCGTACTGATGGTAGTCCACTACCAGCCAATGTTGTTCAAGAAGGCAATGATCTCGTTTTCCGTAATCCATCAGCTGAACAAGCTGGAAATTATATTTGCACAATAACTCATCCTGATGGTTTTATTGAACGTATTGCTATTTATTTAGATTATCGTCCAGGTTAATTTATTTTCGATGTAAATAATTTTATTGAAATGATTATTATTTTTTTCTTAGGTCAACGACAACCTATTAGTCCTCCTTTTGCTTATCCAGTATTTAGTCCACCAAGTCCACTGACAATACTTGAAGGTGATAATCAATTCATACAACCTCAAGGTGCACTTTATCAAGTTTACTGGCGTCGCGATGGTGGCCAACCACTACCACTAGGTATAACTCAAAATGGCAATGGTTTACAAATAACTGATGCACGATCGGAACATTCGGGTACTTACTATTGTGAAGTATATGGAAATGATGGCTCACGTGTATCTATTCCATATGAGCTTCGTGTTCAACGTATAGAGCGACCCCGTCCTGTTGATCGACCACATGCAAGCACTGGTAAATTAAACAAAACAAAAAAAAAGATATGCTTAATCTAGGAAAATGCTGTTATTTTTTTTTAAGTTGGCGCACCAAAAATAACTATTGAACCAAGAGTAATTAATTTAAAAGAAGGTCAACGTATGATTGTTCAATATACAGTTAGCGTAAGTTTGAATAAAAATTAATTAGAAAAAAAATTTTTTATTTCTTTTTGTTTATTCAGTCACACGATCCAATTGAAGTCAAATGGAATAAATGGACAGACCAAGGTTATCAACCAATTTCAGCATTGTTCACTGTTGAACCAAACCGTCTTGTACTTAATCGTGCAACACCTGAAGCAGCTGGTACATATCAAGTTGTTGTAAGTAATGCACATGGTGAAGATCGACAAGAATTACGTATTAATGTTGAACCACGACGTGGCCGAGGACGTGAACAACAAGCTGGTGCACCACGAATTCAATTTTCACAAGATCATTATGATATAAGTGCTGGTCAAGTGATCGATATTGTACCAACTATTTCTGTAACAAAAAAAAAGTTCCCTTTTTTTATTTATTGTAAAGTTTTACTATTTATATTTAGGGGGCAAGTGGAGCAAAAGCAACTTGGTCAAAAGATGGCTCAGGATATTTACCTGAAGGTGTCATTGCACGTAATGATGGAGCTTTACGTGTTGAAGGACGATCAAATAATGTTGATGGACGATATACACTTGATGTCACAAATGCTTATGGTCGTGTATCGGCACCAATTGTTATTCGATGGAGAGAAACAGGTAAGTTTTATTGAATAATATTTAACAATTGTTAACATTACTTTTTGTGTCTTTTAGCTGGTACACAAAGTGCTCATGGTAAGTATTAATATTGAATAATGTTTAACAATTCTTAACATTGCTTTTTTTGTCATCTAGCTGCTTCACAAGGTGGTCACGGTAAGTAATATGAGCTTTGCTTATTATAATGCTTTGCTTTCTCAAACCTAATACATTTTCCTTTTGCTTATTAATCATTGAATTAACAGTTAATCAAAATCGAAGAGTTCACTGGAATGTTCAAAGAGTAGATTTACATGAAGGTCGTCGTCTTGAAGCTGCTTGTCGAGGTGATGTTGATCCATTATCACTTCGTTTGGATGTTACACGTCATAATGGTCAACAGCGTGAACCAGTACCACTCGGTCTTTCGTTTTCAAATGGTTATTTATCATTGGGTGCTGTTACAGTACAAGACAGTGGACTTGAATTTACTTGCTCATCAGCAAATGATTCTGATACCTTAACGCTTACTGTTCGCCCATCGAGTACGCTTAGCTTGTTATATTACTTTTTTCACATCTGCTTTCTATTTTATTATGATTTTTTTTCTTTGAATGAGATATTTTTTTTATTAATTTGGTTTTTTATAATTTCTAGGTCATGGACAAGATGGTGGTCGTAGTTTTATTGATGTACGTCTTGAACCACGTGATGAACAAAGCCATCAAATTGGACGTGAAATTTATTTACAATGCGCAGTTCAAGGAAGCGTTGAACGTCCATATGAATATACATTTACCAAAGATGGTCAACCATTGGAAAACAGTAAAATCTGATTAGTTTATTTTGATTCGAAAAATATGTTTTTTTTTTCTTAAATAGATGTTGAGGTACATCCAAATGGTTTATTAATTATTCGTAATGCTCAAGCAAGTGATGCTGGACGTTATCGGTAAAGAAAATAGTTTCTTTTTTTCGTTTAAACAAATTTCACTTATGTTTATTTAAATAGATGTGAAGTAAGCTTTCCACGTGCACCAGAAGCTGGAATACAAGAGAGCAGTTATGATCTTCGAATTGAAGGTAAACAAATTGATTTCTTTTTGTTCAATTATTAATATTCAAATTCATATTTGAGGTGGTTCCGCTGGAGGTTACGATCAAAGTTTTCAATCTGGTGGTGAATATCAACCACAAGCTGAATACATTGAAGTAACTATTGAACCAAGTGAAGTAACTCTTGGACGTGGTGAAAAAGCCAATCTAACGTGCCGTGTTAAAGGTGCTCAACAATACACTATAACATGGGCTAAATATGCACATGATACAAGTTTACCAAATTATGCTCGTGTATGTATTTGAAAAACAAAGAACATGTTAAAAAAAAAAACTTCATTTTTATTCTTTTATGTTTGAATAGCAACAAGGAAATAGTGTTATATTAGCTCCAACTGAAGATTCACCTGCTGAACAAATGTATTTACAATGTTCAGTAGCAGTACCTGGTCAACCTCAACCATATCACGGTTATGCACCAGTTACTCTTCGGGCAAATGATGAATTACGTAAGAAGAAAAAGAAGAGACGCTCATAGATAATAATTATATAAATAAACTTGTGTGAAATATCAAAACACACTAGTCAATATAATTAACAACATTTTATTCTCATTGACATTATCTATTTTCGTAAAACATCGTTTCTTTTTCTTCAAGTTCAAGTTTATTATAAAACAGTTTTCTTTTTTTTTCTTGCTTTGTAGTTTCTCTCTTAATTCATCAAAATGTTTTAGAATAGTTAGGCTGATCTGTGTGCTTGTGTGAATTGAATTTTTCTTTACTCGTCGTTTATTCTTGAGCGTCTTGTAACTGTAACACAGTGTCTTTTTTTTCTCTCTTAATTGCTAATGCCCAACGGTGTTCTTCTTCTCTCAATGCTGCTGCTGCTACTGTTGTTGTTTGTATCTGTTTTTTTTTGACTAATTATATAAACATGATCTTATAAACAAAAATATTGTAAAGTAGTTTTTATTCATATGCAAGCATTTATTTAATAATTGATTTATTGACATATATTTGAATGTTTACATCAAATTATTTGGTTTCAATACATTATAACAGAAAAAGCTAAGATTAATTGACTTTCTTTAGACGATTTATTCAATCGCAATTTCACAATCATAAAAAATAATTTATAATAGTTAAAAGTAGTCAGAGCTTATGAATGAGAACTGCTCAGATTTTGAATATTTTTAATCGCAAGATATAATTTAAAGTAATTAATATTCATTTCGAAATATAATTTGCACTACTCTTTTTTGAATAACTTTTGATAGAAACATTATCGAGACCTTTGGTTTTCATAATTCAAGAGAAAGACGATTCGAAACTATTGAAGAATATTGAAATATGGTTGATCAGCAATCGACTAATCAGTAGAAAAGCTCTTATCTTTCAATATACGCAATGCCAATATTCCTAGCTTGTTCCATTCGAGAGTTATAAAGAAGCTGTATCGAATAATGATCTTTGTGTTTAGATTCGAAATGACTTCACTCTGTTCGTTACATGGAGGCTGATTGTAGAATTCCAGAAAGATTGAGATAAAAGAGTCGAATTATTTCGTGCCTAAAAGTAAATACTACCATTCGGCTCAGCATTGTGAATTACTTCTGCCTAACTGCTTTTTCGGATGATTATAGGTCATTTGGCTGAAATCGAAGGTTTCAATGAAAGTTTTATAACTATCAAACGAAATCAGCTAGGAATGTCGGCTTTGGATAGATCGAAGGAAAAGAATTTTTTATCAAATAGTTCTATTCAAAGTCCAAGTCTAAATAGAAATTAGCTTAAGAATATCGTTTTCGAAAAAGTTCACGAAGAACTCACCAGATAGATCAACTGCGGACCAATCAATTTTCAATATATTTCGATAGTGCTGAATTTCTTCTCTCGAATAGTGAAAATTGCAGGTCTCTACGATGTTTCTAATAAAAAAGTATTCAAAAAGACAGTGGAATACATTATATTTTGAAACTGATAGTAGATAAAATCAACTATATGTTGAAAATGTTTCATACATTTATATAACTGTATTTCACTGATTGCACCCTTTTTCGAGTTTATCTTCAGAAAAAAAGCTTGCCAGTGCAGCGCTTTTATAGCTAAAATGTGAAACTTACATACAGTTTTAGCCTCATTACACTAATGAAAAATGAGTCCAGTGAAAAACCTCTAATAAACTATAGTTGTTTTCCAAGAGTAGTCGATCGTCAGTGAAACGATGTGTGCGATTTAGTTATTCTTTTTTCATTGGTGCTCTATGTTTTTGTTCGCCTTGTTGTTATTCGCTGATTATTTTCATTATTCTTGATTTAACACTATTATTATTATTATTATTATTATTATTATTATATATCAGTAAACTCAAAAATATTGATATTGGTTATTTCCCAAGCTTATCACTTAAGTCGAAGTTTTGTTGTTAATGCTGTTAAAAACTCGGAAAAAAGAGTCTGATATCTGTTGCCTTCGGCTGCTATGAAAACTATCTAATGACCATCTCCTTCCCCTTTTGTTGCTCTGTGGATGGAGTCATGTTATTTGCAAAAGAAAAAGAATCTATAAAAATATCATCATCTTTCAGATCTCATATGAGTCAATTTTTCAAAAATTTCACATTACTTTTTTTTAGTTATCTCCCAAAACGTTACAGTCACATTATGTGGTATGGTTAGTACTTGTACTAACACAAAAGTTATGTCTATTGGAACACTTATGGGAATAGTTGTTGGACATTTAGCACTATTAGTTATTATCATTATTGTTATCGGTATTATCAGTATTGTGTGCAGAAAAAAAAGAAACAACAGTTAGTCTATGGCACAGCTGCTAATTACAGTCAGCCCATCAACATGAGTTATTATACACCATATGACCAGTCTGTTAAATTTAATGTACCACCTTCTGTTTATCAACAATAAGAGATAATCATAGTTTCCAGTTAAAGCTTAGATGCCTAAGAGTAAAGATGCAGTTTGTTGTGATCAATTTCTTAAATAGACGAAATAATTCAGTTAAACATGTTATAAAGAAAATGATGATACTTTCACGTAATTATTAATTGTCAATCTATGTAGGATATGCTTTTAGTAGAATAATCGATGAAATCTGTACCATAGACACGAAAAATTCTATACTTGGTTTTGTATAAATATTTTGAAAAACAATATTTTTTAGTTAAATTTTTTGGTGTTTATCTAATTGGCTTTTATCAAAGAAAAAAAAATTAATTTACCAAAAATGAAAAATAAAAAAACGTCTCATTTTTTAGAAATATAAATACATCTAAAATGTTTGTTTCTTATATTGCTTATCCGAATATGACTTGTTCTTCTTACAATGTTAATGAATTTTTTTTCTATTCTTGATTTGTCTTGTATATAAACTCTAAAATTCGTATTCTAAAAAAAAAGAAAATCGAATATTTTCTCTAAATTTTATAAATTTGTGATCAAAAAATTAAATAACTCAGTTTGTATATCACTAAAACTATAAAGATCAAATATATTGAGAAAATTCTTATTGTTTCTTACGCAATGTCTCTCAAAATTTACTTGTTAATTATTACGTCATACAAATATGTTGATTTTATATAATGTTTTATAAGACATCGTTAGTTAATAAACTTAGAATTTTTATATTTCACGAATTTATTTGCAAAACCAAATTATTAATTTCGTGTAAAGGAAAAAATTTCATTGAACATAAAGACATATTTGATTAGCCGATATTCTTAGTTTTTGTTCGCGTCTTTAAATAAGATTATTCTTTGAGTAATTGAATTCATAACATATAAATCTCGTCTATTTAAAGGAGATTCAGAAGTTCTGATTCTGACTTGTCGACAATAATATAGCAATTCAAATTAGATCATAAAAAACATCAATTTTTCATAAACTAGAACGTGATAAAATTGTGATGCGATCAAATAATGATAAAACTAATCGACACATCTTTACTCTAAACACATTTTCACACTACTTGGCGTGATTTTACACATACAGCACTGTGTAAGAGTGAAGACGTTGTAACGTAAGTGAAGATTTTCCTAAAAGTAAGATTTTCATCTAATTATAGAATATCACGAAATTCGGTATTATAATATTTCTATGATGTTATGTTTAATTATTAAATAACTAATAATCGATTTAGTTTTAATTTGTAACGAAAATAATTCTAATATATGTGAAAAAAAAACATCTGACGATAAGCATGACTGGAGACGGATAGACTTATATATTGAACAAATGATAGAGCTAAATAAAAAACAAATAATAGTAAATTTGAATTATCTATGCCTCGATTTCAAAACTAACAAAAAGAAAAGAAAATAAACTACACTATAGAAGATATAATTTAAATTCTTAAATAACACAAATGCAAATAAGATGCAACATCATATTGGGATTTTCTGCTAGATAATAACCTAAAGAAGTCACATCTATTCTGATCAATATCAGTGAACACAAAAAATCCATATGAAATATCACGTATATAGTATTCAGCTAACGAAGATTCTATATAGTCTTGCTGTTTGTTTCTTTTTCGTCGGTACTAGAGATGTATGGCAGCAAGTTTAGTCTCAGTTACACGGATCGACATCAAAATTTAGAAGTTTACTAGAATTGGAATCGGGACTGTGAGAAAAAAGTCGTTCTAACTCGAACTAAAGACTATAGTTAAATATTCTATGATATTCAGCGAGTTATCTGTTAAATATTAATCATGACATGATTGAAGAGAGATGACCCCCCCCCCCTCTCTCAAAAAAAGATCTTCATTGACTAAATGAATCAAACAATTAGTATCGAAGAAAGTGTTTTAGATGCCATACGAATAAATTATGGAATAGTTGTTTTCTCTGGGTCAGGATCAAAAAAAAACTTGGTCTCGAACATCTCTAATCGATGTAAATAATAATAAATCTTCAAATATGAATTCTGCTTTAATAAAAATATATAATAAACTATAAAATTTTGATCAATATCAATACTATTTGAATACCTGTAGAATGATCATAGCATTAAAATCTTAAAATTTGTCAGTTGTATAAATTATCACTAATTCAATTAAATACAGAAGAGAACTATGCTTGAAACTGAAAATGTTTTTTTTCATGATATTTATATTTGCAGTTTATACTTGTTCAGCGATTGACTGCACTAAATGAGATATCCTATATGATAGAAATCGAAAAACTACTACCAATATACTGGTCGGTGGAAAGTGCGCTATATCGGCTTGTTTTTTGAAAGTATTGTATCAATACGAGAGAATCTCTTCAAGCTTGTTAAGTTGAACAGACTTGAGTTATTATCGATACACTGACAACATGTTGATACGTTCGAGCCGTCCATACTAAGCACCGAGTTGAATTCGATCCCAGTGACAAGATAAATTTTTATTATAGATGGTTCCGTTAAAACTTTTCATTATTAAACACTATTCTGAAACTGTTTTTTTCTCCGTTGTTTTGAATTATTATTAATAAATAATTTGAGTTTGGTTAGAAAACACTGTTTGTAATCATTTACAACTAGCATAGAAAGTGTGAGAGGCTAAAGTCAGTTCTTATGAGTATTGCAATATACGATCTGAACTCTATTATATCTGATAATAAAAACCAATAGAGTACTAGAAAAGTAGCTTACGGTTTTTATAGCAAAAACATAAAAATAGGTGTTCTCTCGTAACCTGCTAATGTTATTTTTTTTTCTTTTTCTTATCTACTAGTGCGCTATGTTTTTTTATGCAAGATTTGTTGTTATATGTGACGATAATGTTAAGCAAACAAAATGTTTGTATTATTTTTGAATTTTTGTCGCACCTTTAGGTGACGAATAAAAGTTTTATAGACGACCAAAACAATGAACAATTTCATATTTGGTTTGAACATTGTCGATGGTTTTGAATACAAATTCTGAAAAGATTTAATGATACGGTTCGAGTTTATACATTTTCTTGTTAACTTTGCATTTAATACATTGTTTGTTTTGTTAAATACGTCATTGGAATAATTTTTATTTGCCATCACTTTCTTCCTTTCGTTTTTTTTCTTTTTTGAAAAATTTTTTGTTAAAAAAAACAAACGTTTCGAAATGTAAAATGAAAGAAGCATCTGTAGTTTTTTTTCATCAGTTGAAAACAGACGTATTCTTCAAGCTTTTGCCATGTCAATTAGTAGCTTCTCAAATTTAAGTACTGGGGAAATTATTGGTATTGTTGTGGGTATTGTATTGGCAGTTGTTGCTGTTATTGGAATTCTTCTGACTATATGTGTTTTGTGTTGTAAAAGCGATAAACCATCACAAGTACAACCATATTCTTCATATCAATATCAACAAAATCCTTATGGTCAACCGATGAGGCAAGGTTATTATTCACAACAACAGTCTTGGCCTCCACAACAACAACGTTGGAACCCACAGCCAATGAATTATGTACAAAATCCTGGTTACTATAATTCACAATCAAATTATTAACTCAAATGAATAATATCACACATTTGATAGAAAGACTTTTGATAATATAATAAACAAAAGTTTAAATGAAATTGTTTTTTCATTCTATACTAATTTTGATTTTCAATATAAAATCGTTTGCAAAGAATTGGAAATTCTATTTTTTTTTTGTTTTATTCATTATTGTGAAAGAAAAACAGAATAATCATATCAAACAACAGTTGATGATCTGTTGTGACTAATAAACTGTAAGATTGAGTTTTGAAAGAAATTATTTCTGGACAAAATTTCAAATCATGAACACGCATCAATGAACCATTACTTTTTCTTATAATTTGCTAGAGATGGATACAAGTTTTCTTGCATCAGTGAATGTAAAGAGTACTTTCAAACATGGGTCACAATATAAAATTGTGATAAAATAAGTTTAATCAAGAGAAATTTAAACATTACAATAGCTCTTGTGACACTATAGTTGAACAATTCATATTATTTCTAACGATTGTTATAAATCAATAGAAATACTATGAATTAGATTCGTTTAGAATAAGCAAAGTCACCAATAATATCCTAAGGTATATAATGAAGAAAAGAATTACTCTTAAAAGTTATTAACTTCTACAATACTATTTATATATTGATCCTTTTTGGTAAATTATATCTTTCTATAAACAAATAAAATCAAGAAAAGTTGATTTAGAATTATTTCAATATAAATCTTTGATTGAAATATATTGACATTTAATTTAAATTGATAAACTTATGCTATACTTAAAATCGAACATCAATTATGATAATTTGATGCATATATGAAATTAACTCAATGATATTTCCGCTGTCAAATAATATTCTATGATTTGGTACATTTTCTTAAAATATTTCATTATGATTTTCCGTATAAATACAATAAATATGTATGTAATTTGTTTTCTTTCTCTTTGTTTTAGAAAATCAATTACGGTTATAATTAAATTTAACACTTATCGATATAGAATATTTTCAATGAAAGAATGTTTCATTTTGATAATGACATATTAAACATTGTTTTTTTTTCTTTGCATATAAGACATAATGGCTTTTTTTTGTGTTTTGTCATATGAATAGGAAGTCAATATTAAATCTAATTCAATTAATATTCTTTTTTAGAAAAGACTATACTCTTCTTTTTGTTACATATTGAATAAAAAAATATATGTAAAGATTTGCGTGGATCAAAAAGGAAATAGAATGAAAATTTTTTGAAGAAAACCTTACTCAATATACACGATAAATTGATCATAATCGGAAGGACACTTTGGTTTACCTTTTTTTCCGGTCTTAAATGTTTTTAAATTTCTTTTCTATGAAACTTTCTTTTAGCGTTTACTTGTTTTTTTTTTATATTCAAATTTCATACAATACGAAGTATTTTAGAGTAGTTAAAACTCAATTATAGTAGCCATACTTAGCATTGAATTAAAATAAAAAAAATATTACGAGAATCTGTGCATGCCAATTTTTTTAAGGCTTCTTTTATCAAACAGATAGAGCACAACAAAATGATGTTGTTAGTATTGGTATTATTATGGATCAATGATGATAAAAGACTAGAATAATGAAAAGGGCATTGTTTATTTAATAATCTGGTACGATGTCAATCGTATACAGAGTTTTCAGCCCAACATTCCGTATTGTGGACGGCCAGCACGTCGTTCTCGCATATCATTTAACCATTCTTCGATGTCATCATTAACTTTTGGCACTAAAATAGCAGTAAATAAACCAATTTAACAAACATAAACAAAAAAAAAATGTCAAATTGTTTTATCATACCGTCAATTCGTTTGCCCAAATAACCATAAGAATAACGTTTACCGAGTACACCAAATTTAAGATGTTGACGACGAAATGGATATGGTGTTAATTGTTGTGTTGCTGATATGTCTAAATTCTTTTTATTTCGATAGGATTCATCATATTCATCGCTTTCCGTGCTTTCAGTCATCGGTTCTTCATTAATTAATGCAGCAGCATCTAAATTATTATTTTAGAATAAAAATATGTTTAAAAAAAAACGCACAGAAAAGAAAAAGAAAATTTTATTTCACCTATACATGCGAGATTGAATATAAATACCAACAGAGTACTGACAAGTATCAAAAGATTTGGTGAAAGTTTCATATTTTTTTTTAAATATTATCTAGAAATTGAAACAAGTAAAGAAAAAAGAGTAGTGTTTTCCGGAAATTGCTTAGTCACCGTATTTTCACCATTTATTGGCACTCTACTCATACATCTAGGTATGAAGATGACGAGTAAAAAAACAAACTGACATACAGTAAATCATCGAATGTTTATTTGCAAGACAAATATTGATCGATGACCAAAATAAGATCAGTTGTCAATACTTACGGATAGATTTCACTTGATTTACTCCCATCTTTTTTTGGCCGCCTTTCTTCCGTTATTCCATTAGCATCAGTCAGTGCTTTTTATTCTTTCTCTTACATTTTCCTACTAATTTCTCGTTCGCTTGTTATTGTATTTAACTCTGCCCCCTCCGAGTCAAGTAGCACAATGCATATAGAGAAAAGGATTTTGTTATATATAAAAAAAAAAAAACTTCTAAGACAGAGAAAAAAAAAGAGACAAATGCATATATGAGAGTGCTTTAATCTACGTCTTATATAGATACTAGCGGAAACATGATTAATATCTAAGCACAATTTCATTTGAACGGAGTGAGTCTTTTTCATGTCTAACATAACCCAATCAATCATAAATCAATTTGCTCTTCAAAATTTATAAATATATAAATATATATATATATATATGATTTTATGTAAAACACAAAATTCTTAACTTTGTTTGAAAAAAACAAAACAACTACAAGTGAATGTTTCTAGAGAGAAACATATTCTGTTGATTTTTTGTTGTTGTAATGTATCAAAATTAAGTAAAGAAAAGAAATGTCTTATAGAACAGACTTTTTTTCTATCTCCAACTAATTGAGCTTTCTCGACTATGCATACATCTTATGTCTAACCTTCTATATTCATTTAGACTCAATTTAACATTTTTTTTGTCTAGTGCATTATTTTTCTCTCTTAGGATGAAAATAAGAAACGATAAATTCTTTTATATGCATACCAATCATTTTTATGGATTCTATCTCTTTGACTATATCACGAAGCGATAGTAAAATAAAGCTAATTTACTACTCGAATGTAGAAAGTACATGTTGTATTTCAACTGTCGGTTATTTTTTTTTTATTACTGTAAAACGTATTTCACATATACATTGATTTTATATTCATCAAGACTTATTTAGAATGTCAAAACTTTCATAATCTATAAACATATGTAGTTAAAAATAAAAATTTTACTACTTAAGAATCGAAGTCACATCACGTTTATATTGATATTTGTATTCACATGAAAAAAAGAATACTAGCTTCATATCATTAAATCGAACTTTTTCCAGTACCTAAGGGATTTTTTTTATCATAACTTAGATAAAATAATCAATCTTATGATGAAAAGAATTTGTCTATTTTCACTAAAAAGTGAATCCCTGAAGAAAAATCAATCTAATTCTCTTTCATCTTATCATTCAGACTGACTATGACACGGTCAAACAACTGGCAGAACAACAGTAATTATTCGACCGATTATTATTCAGAAGAAATAGACAATTAAATAATGTCATAATAAATGATTTTATTTTTTTATGGTCACGTCGATACTTGTAGTTTTACTATGATTGTAATTGGTATTCTTGAGAGAAGACAATTATTTATAAACTCAGTTGAAAAACAATATATTTATGAGTTGTATATGAACAGTAATTCTTGATTTAGAATTGAATATAGTTGTTAGAGTTATTCTCTATAGAAATTTATTTAATGGATACAACATCCTTCTGTAACACAATGTCGATATTCTACAGAAGAATATTTTTAGTACAATAAAGTAATCAATTTTTCTGTCAAGGCGATTAACTCATTACTACTCTGACATCCATTGAGTAGAGTTGGCGTTAAGTCAATCACGTGCAATAATTTATGCATGTACGATTCATGACAACAATATAATTAAATCTACACGAATTCATTTTACTCTGTAGATATGTTAAATAAGTCAAAAATGGCCGATTTGTCTTTAATGGTATAAAAATTGAGCTCATTACTAGTTACTTTTTTTCGTCTATGTAAAGACTGTCTGATAATAGCTGAGAATAAGTTGTCGACAATACTTTTTTTTTCTTGGTGTAGAAGCCTGGAATTTTTATCAAATATACGTATATTTTTAACTAGAATCTTTCATTTTCCAAAGTTTCAGCTTTCTAGTTAAAATTAGTCGTGAAATACATCAGCAAGATTAGCATAAATAAATTGTTGTATTAGATTTTTGTAATATTTTTACTAGATAGTCAATGGTGACAGAATGGCTAAGGATTGTTTTAACTACATAGAAATGTATTTATATCTAAAAATCTTTTAGATTTAAGAATAAATTTTATCTTAAATGACTACGAGTTACGAGAACAAAAAAAATGGTCTGAATTGACTTCAAATTGTCTCAGAACAACATAAAATATTGATCGTACGGTTCGTAACACAATTATCTCATGAACATATAGCATCAGTAGATAGCGGTGTTAAATTTTTTGATGTATATAAAATTTGAAAAATATGTTTGATATATTGAACGAAAAAATTTTCCAGAAGTGTTTTCTACGTCATTATAATAAAGAAAAGAAAATGCATGTTGATGAAGGAAATTTTCAAAGCAAAAATAATAGACGAAATACCTAATTAATCACCCTTGGCCATAGCGAGATATTCATTGACATTGAGTGTTATTATATCTAACATTTTCTTTTTAAATTTGTCTTTTAATGTTTCTTCTCATCGAATATTGATAAATATTACTGTTCAAGAAATAAAGATGTTACCAAAATTCATATATTTTAATCTTGTCCATGCATTTCAATATCAGTTGTAGCTAGAAAATTGAAACTTTGAAAAATTAAAGATCTT